TGAGAATACTGTTGATGATATAAATCCTGCATCAACCCCAAACTATGGCAATTATGGTGAATTCCTTAATATGGGTAGTGCAGGATTTATATCATCCACCGTAGTAAGTCTTAGAGGATCATTGTGTGGTTCAGGCATGTTCAGGCAGAGTGTCAGTGTTGTTGTGTGATGATTGTGTCATGATTTGGAATTCACAGGCTGGTATTGTGACGATTAGCACTCAGAGCTTGCAGAGTGGTAGTCGTAGCCATCAATTTCCAGACACTCAGGTGGCATTACACGTCGAGCATCAGCAGTGCGATTGCTCCTACCCTAAAACCCTAAACCCTAAAACCTTAGACCCTGAACCCTACAACCCTAAACCCAAAACCCATGAAGCCGCTCCCCAAAAAAGCAGCTCTGCAGGTCCAGAGATTGGGCTTGCCCAAGCCTAAACCCTGAACTTTAAGTTTCAGAGGCCTAGGTAGGACATATTAGGGGTCCCTAAGCCCTAGAACTCTACACCCCATAGATCCCCATGAGTGAATGGGAGCCCCTGAAACCCTCTAAACCCTAGAACTCTAAACACCAGACATCCCCGAAAGCATACCCCCCCCCCCCCCCCCCCTTAGCTGAGGTGGCAGCTCTTCTTCGCTGCCAGGCCGATGTCCAGGCAAGGCGGTGGTTTGGCTTCAGTGCCAGTCCAAGGAGTGTTTAGGGGCTAAAGCTTCGGGGTTGTGGGATGCGACAAGGTGCCTAAGTTCCTGATGTCATTCATTGGCTCGCTCTGAAAGTCTATCGGCTCTTGCTTTGCCTGAAGCTTTTCTTGGGTGGTGTAGTGTTGAGTGCCCATGCCAGTGGACTTCAGCGGACAACGCTAACCCTATGCTCAGGCTCATTCTATTAAGCATGCGTTTTGTGCAGTGCTCGGGGTTTGCGTGCTCAGGGCTCCTGTAGGATGTTACGGTCCTCAGGGAGTCCAGAATTCGGTAGCTTACTGTAATTAAGGATCTGGTCGCAAAAGTCTTTGGTAGTGTTACTAGACGGGATTTTTCATAGCGCCTTTTCAATGAATCAATGCGCATCAGTCTACAATGTCCTGAAGCGTTGTTCTAAATCATTTCCTAAGCACCCATGCACCCAAATGCAGAAAACAAGGCCTTAAAGGGCTTACTAACTGGAAGGCCGCAGGATATGCTGTATGGCTGCATGGATAAATAGGGATTGCCTTTAAGAACGCTGATGTGCAAACTTTTGCTTCGCCACCGCATGATACAACGATTGCCCCAGTTCCTCATACTTAGAAAAGAGCCTGGTTGTAGAACATAGTATCACTATGATCATGAATATGCAACTAGAATATATTCAGGCTTCTATGTTAAACCCGAAATTGGCCTTGCACGTATGCCCTCACATCACCGGATCCTCGCATCACTTTATCTCGAACTGTATCAGAACCTCATAGACTCTTATAGTGACCAGGCCCTGGACAACATGTACCAGACGGCCCTCCACGCAGCAGCTGCTAATGACAAGCCCGAGGCATGGATGGTCAATGCAGAGCCTATGGAACCCTAAAATAGACTATAAGCAGGGGTTGCCGTTGCGATAGTTCCAGGCAGTGGTGACCTATACTTCGTAAGCCAAGCGATCAAAATAGGGTGCTTCGAGTCACAGTTAAGTCAATCCTATTTGCCACTTCTCATGGCTCTTCAAGTAGAAACAGTAACCCTTTGAACCGTCAACCGGAATGATTATGCCCCTAAGGAGCTTTTGGCCATTCCTACAACCAGACCTGGGTGCGAAGAAAGTTCAGGGCTTCGAGGCTTGCTGCTGATTGCGAATGTCGGTGCTGCTTTCGAACGGTGTATTTACGGAATTTGAGTCAGGCTTAGCATATCTGCAGAGCTGAGCAGCAATGGCCATGAATGGCAAACCAATGGATGAATGCATGAAATGAATGAATGAATGAATGCTAGTAGTTAATGCCAGTAGTAATCGTAATCGTAGTCGTATTCCAAAAATAGCAACAGCAACAGTTGCCGCAATAGTAACAATAGCTTTCATAGAAAATGTGATAGCGCTGTCAGTAGCACTTGTAATTGCCATGGAAGGAAGTATTGCGTGACGTATAGAAATAACGTAAAAAATAGTATAAGCACTTGTGATAGGAAAAGCTTGTGGGTAGGAATGGACATCGTAATTGCTAGACAGTTTTTGTAAACCATACTAGCAAAATGTTGATAATAGTCGATATGCCAGCCGAACATCCGCTACTGTACCATCGTAGTCCAGGTTGGGATAACAAGCTTTAGCCTAATCCCCCTAAACCCAACTGAACATGTGTCACCCTGAACCCCTAGAGTCCATACCCTTTTCGCCTTACCGCCCGGAAGGCCACGCAACATTTTTTTTGCCGAAACCCGCAGGCCCCAAGCCCAAAAAGGCATAAGCCAGCTGTGTCCTAAATCCCAAATCCGCCACCCTCAGCCGCCCTGCGTCAGTGCATCCAGCTGCTCTACAAGAAGAGGGCGCGCCTCGAGCAAAAGGATGGCTCGGGTCGGACTCCGATGCAGCACCCGGGCTCGGAATTTGTGGGTTTAGGGAGTTTAGGGATTGAAGTTGCAGGGCCTGCTATTTTGGGAGTTTCAGGGTGTGTGTGGCTTAGAGGGAGTGAGGGGTTTGTAGGGTGTAGAGTTTAGGAGAGACGTTTGATGATAGGGGCTTCAGTGGAATTGCGGCACGGGCTTTTGGAGCAGGATCGACTAGTGGCAGTCAAACTTTATGGTTGGTGCGATGATTCAGCAGCATTTGGCTTCGTTTTGTGGGCGATGTTTAAATAAACTCTGAGACCCATAAACCTGAAAACCCCGACCCCTCAACGCCCTCAGCCCTGAAAACCCTCACACCCAAGCTCTAAGCCGTAACATCCTCAACCCTACAACCCGGAGCCCGGAACACCCCTAACCCTAAAACCTGAGCCAGAGTCCTTGCTACACCCTAAACCCTAAACCCTCCCTAGCCGACGTTGCCAAGGCTGGCTTTGGATGGTCGGCAGGTCACAGCCCCGGAGTGAGAGCAGTCGCTGCTCCGAAGCCGCGGCTCGCGCTTCGGGGCGTAGAGGTTTATAGGGTTCAGGGCTCTTCAAATAGGGGTTCCATAAGGAATCTACGAAGGTTTAGGATTCTATGAGCAATCTAACAGTCAAAAGGGTTTTGTCTAGGGTGAAACGTTTGGGTTTGGGGGTTGAGTGTTCGGAGTCCTTTCCGCCCTACACCGTGGGATAGTGTTTGACTTGCAGCCAGTTGATCTGAGAACATTGCAGCCTCACCAAGGGCAGTTTGCCACAATGAAACTTCAGCCATTCAGTCATTCGTGATTGAGCCAAGTCAGACGTGCTGTGACACGATTGTACACACACACAGACGGACACGCACACACACACAGAGACACACACACACATCAATATATATATATACATATATCTTTTTATCTGTATGTATGTATGTATGTACGTACGTACGGTGAGAGAGAGAGCGAGAGAGAGAAACACAGTATATGTATGAGGTTACGGTGTGTTTGCAAACATCTATGTGCATGTGCATGCAAGTGCAGTATTGTCTCTCTTTGATTCCCATCATTCCTGCATCGCTGAGAAGCCATGGAAACACCTGGCAAATGATACAGCAAACACCTTTTCATGCCTCAAGTGCACATTCCACGGAATAGTCAAGGTGAAGTCGATTCGGATGCTGCTCCGACTCCGCGCAGTCATGCCCGAGGAGGCTGTTGTAACTCGAGTTTCGAGTTTAAGGTTTAGGGTTCAGGATAGCAGCAGCGGGTTTTCGGCGAGGGTCTCTGCAGTATGAACACAGTAGTCTTTGCGACTGTGAAGAATTTAGGGGTTTGGGGCAGTTGCCGCAGCAGCATCGATGACGTTTCAACCTAAGCCTTTTTCGTTCTGATACAATGTACCCCCTCATGCGATCTACTGATGTCCGAATCATCCTAATCCAGAACTTGGGTTGCCATCGCCACATGTTTCGATGAGCAAGAGAGGGGCCTACCAACTGTATCATAGAGTGGCGAGCACGCGCCATCAAAGGAGATCCGAAACACATGAGGCATGCACCCAGTCTCTAACCATGAACTCAGACCCAGGGATGTTTGGATGCTCGACTCGCCATGCCTTTTGGGCGCCACTGTCCTCTGCCACAGGCAGCCAAGCGAGAAGATCTTCAAGACTTGATTTCAGAGGTGGAGCGCGAGGTGCACCTGCGGCGTTGCAGGGCCTTTCCCTCCACTTCTTTCGAGCCTTATGCATCCTAAACTCTTTCGCGCTTCGGAGGCCGTGAAGCTCACTCAGAGGTCTATGCATCTAAGATTCATGGCTAAGTACGGATTCATTCGCTAGACGAGCATAGAACCTAGACTCTAGACCAGTAGTCTTGAAGTCGGAATCCGACACCCTCTAGGCCTTGACCGGTACATCCCTAAATCCCAAGCCCGAAACGCGGCAGGTTCTTATGGAACAACTCAAGGAAGCAGAAAGTCTATGCAGCCAGCAGCAACTGAAGGCGGATCTCCGGGGAGGGGTCCCGGATTTCTGGGTTGAGGGCTTTCAGGGTTTGGGGTTTTAGGGTTTACGGCTTTCAGGAAGAACCTATGCAGGCCAGATGCAAAGAAGGTATTAGGTCCAGGGTATCTCAGCCAGGCGTGCGCGGAGCTGACACTATTGGTCAGTGCCAGGTTTAGGATCCCTCTCGCTCGTTTCGGGTTTGCAGGGTTGTTGGTAGGGTTTTAGTTTTTGTTTTAGGGGGTTTTCAGGGTTTTAGGACTTGTCACTCGTGTGGTCAGTGGTGCATCAGTTGTTCTGGGTTCATGGTGGTGTTTCGATGGTTTCAATATAACGAGGTTATGGGGTTGGTAAAGCTGCAACGATGTCGCGTCAGACGGCACTTCAATACCTTCACGTTATGGCTTCTCCTGGAATAGGTATGCAGTATGCAGTCTACGCAGCCCAGTGACGACAGCCGTCCCGGCCGTACGATGTCGCGTCAGACGGCACTTCAATACCTTCACGTTATGGCTTCTCCTGGAATAGGTATGCAGTATACAGTCTACGCAGCCCAGTGACGACAGCCGTCCCGGCCGTCCCTAACTGGATCCATGGCTGGATGCTTGCAGCCTGAAGTTTCATTGGATCCGGCTCTACAGGGTTCTCGGGCCACTCTACGCGACAGGATGCCGAAGCAGCATTCGAGGATGCCCGGCAGCATTTGCCGCTTATCTGAACGTGAGTCGGTGGGATGGTTGTGCCTCTATAGACCTTTGTAGCAGTCAGAGCGCTGGGGACAGCAGCAAGGTGTTATGGCGGCGGCTTTCTACTATGCCTTAAACTAGTTTTGAGGGAAGACATGCAATCGCCAAACTTATATATTATAAATTCTACACAAACCTAAGCGCGCTTGGACAGTTTGTGGTCCAGATAAGCCCCGGCTGCCAATGTCTGCAAGCAGCAAGGCATCTTTCTGGATACAGTCTTGCCATCGCTTGTTGTGCTAGTTGGTCGTAGCAGGAGCCTCCAGTGCCTTCTTTGAGAGAGGCTTGATCCCTTCGTGTGTATGCCATCAACACCGAAACCCTTTTGCTAGACATGAAGAAGATTTTGATTCTGAAGTCACATTTGTTCTTGAAGATCACTGAAAATGCTCCTTCTTGCTGATTTAAAATCATAGGCCTCGAGAGAAGATCTCCGGAGTCGATTGCTGCGGTGCCTCGAGACTTTCAGAGTTCCGCGGAGTCCTACTTGCAGCATCTAGAAGCTAATTAATCCCAACAAGGAACCAAAGGCCTGAACCTTACTCCGTAAACCCTGAACCCCGAAACAGATCCCTGGACCCCTCGCCCGAAACCCCCAGCCGAATCCCCGCAGCCTATACCCCTTAACTCCACAACCCCACACTCTCAAGCCTAAGCGAAAAGCCCCAGCTTTCTCGTTCTCCTGTCCCAAACGAGGCTTCATCTGACGCTGCTGAGCGAGACCGCCAGGGTAACACCCTTGATCCACAACGCCGAGTACAGGCTCCGGACTTCCATCGCTTTTCATAGTTTAGCTTGTTGGCGATTCGGAGTTTCCCTAGACATCCAGGTGTGTACGAGGCTTTCGGGTTTAGTGTACACGGGGTAACGTCCTTGTAAAGATTCGGAACATGACGAAGGCGTGGATTGCATAGCTCATGGCATTATAAGCCTTTGAGAATTGGAAGAAAGCGGAGGCTGGCAGACATCCTGGAGCAAGATCGCGTCTGTGCAGAGGAGCGGGAGCGGATCAAGGCTCGACGCTGCTTAGACCCTGGATTGTAGAAACTCTGTATTGACGGCATCATGAAGTTCTCATAGGCTCGGAATCACATAGCAGGTTGTCCAAGGGAAGGTATTGCAGCATACGATTTCGGTGCGGTTCGAGTTTATCAGCAGATGCTGCCCAAAGTCCAATAAACTTGTGAAAAAAGCCTTGCAATCTCAACGATCCACGGCCCCAAACTCCCCGCACTGAGGCCCAGCTGCCGAGGTCCTTCAACGTCTGCTGATAAAGCCCCTTAAACGCCTAAGCTTCAGGGTGAAAAGTTTGGGGTCTATAGGGTTTAGGCTTAAACCCTGGCAAGAAAATCCCCACAATCCCGCACTTAAAGCCTAATCCTACAACCCTATAAAGCCCTAAACCCCTTATTCTCAGGCGGGTCTGGCGGATGCTGATGCAGAGCTCGCCAAAGTGTCAGAGGAAGTGAAGGCACCTCTGTTGGTCCTACGGGCCTTATGGCTTTCTGGGCTTTGGCTTGAGAAGGCGTTTGGTTTCTAGGGGTCGTATAGACTTGAGTGTTTCGGGCTTCAATGACTCTTAAAGAGATCTTGGACAAAAGAATTGAGGCTTTTGATTTGAAACAGGCTTCCGTCAGTATATCATTGGCTGTTGTTCGAGCAAAGGGGACTACGGCATATGAGCTCGAGGATTCTTGAGACTGTGCGGGAGGGGGAGGAGCCTTACAATATCGAAGCCTCAATAATAACCTATGTTATTCCTCAGGGTTCCTTGGTACAACCTGATATGATATGCCCAGCAGCCTGTTGTAGTCATTAAGGCCGCTGTTGTAGAGTGGTTCGGGTCCTTAAGCTATATTCTGGGGAGACTCGGCAAGTATGCAGGGCTTCGGAGGTTGTTCCACGGCCTGCTGTAGTTTCCAGCGTTGCGTTGTTTGGCCGAACGTCGGGTCTGAGTCTTTGGACACACTATGAAGTTGATAAACCCTAAACATAACCGCCAGACCCTAAACCCGAACTACAAGAGGCTTTCGTATCCCGAAGCCCTGGCCAATCCGGACGGCCAACCAGATCCATAGTTTTCACCTGGAGGCATTCTGCTGTCTTTGTATCTTCCCGGGTGCTCCCAACTCTAGATGAGTCGGCGGCTGAAGCCTGCCATAGGACCCTTAGGATGACCTTTCTGAATCCTCATGTGGCTGGAGGTGTGGTCCGCTTGGCTTAGTTTGGCTATGTGGCTATGTGGCTATGTACCCAACATGTTTCCGATGATGTTCCAATGATAGGGTCGTGGCTACTGCTGTCGATAGCAATGTCTTCATGATGGCCGTGGCGATTCCTTCTGGTCTGATTGTTACATAACGATATGTACACTGCTATCTTCTTTGTCAGGATAGCATCATGTGTTCCCTTGCTCTGCGTTACCATCGTTGTTTGAAGGGCCGCTCAAACCATCGTCCTGGATCCTCTTCCTGGATTCTTCAGAGTGCCCTCATGCCTTTGCTGTCTCTTTATCAACGAAAACCTGAAAATGGGATTGTTACTGCCTATCGCCTTCCCCTTATTGTTGCTATTAGTATTATAGTCTTGTTGTTACCCTTTTTCTATCATTTTTATTGCTATCATAATGATTCATGATGACTATTCTTAGGGTGTTGCTGGGGAACCGAAAGCCTCGGTGTCAGGAGAAAGGCAAGGACCTTGCCTTGCTGCGGAGAGACTTGGACGCCATCCGCGAGGCGAAACTGAAGAAAATGGAGGCTCGACTGCCCTTGCGTTTGGAAAAAGGATTAGGCTTTAAGGTTTAACGGTTTAAAACAGGTTTGGGGGTTTTACAATTCCTAAAGTTTAGAGATTAGAGAGATCTTCCCACGCCCTTGCCTTGTCCTGTAGAAGGAAACCTAGGTCTCGTTTGATAAAGGGCTGCCGGGCCTTGGGTGGGTTGATATGTTTCTTCGAACCCTCGGCCGGTAATTCGGAACTCAAAAGACTACAACCTGCGCGTTCTAAGTTTTAGCTGGGCTAGTGTCTGGATCTGCGGAGTGGCCGTTCTGCAGGAAGATGGGCTCAAAAGGCTTGCCGCGGGTTGAAATGATCTGGGGTTCACTTGCTTTCAGAGTTAGGTTCGGCAGTCGCCGGAAGCAGAGGGCAATTAAAGCATAATGGCTTCGAGCTTCGACAAAGTACAAAGAAGAATGCATGACGTTTGCCATAGGCGACAACGACGAACACGGTCAGCACTAGCAAGCACAGCTGTCTGCGAGCAGTGCAACCATTCGTGCAGCCTTGAAGCAATCATGTTTGATTTTGAGCTTCTGAATGAACCATGCCTAGTGACACCGTTCTTGCTATCATTACCCTAACTACTTTGCTGGCGATACTGACTTCCGTCGATCCCTCAACCCTAAGCCCTAAACCCTAAGTCCTAAACCGACCTCGCTTGTGGGCTTTGATCCTTAGCTACGCGAGAGGGAAAAAACCCAAAGCCCTAAACCCTAAGCCCTAAACCCTAAACCCTAAGCCTTCATCAGCCATGCCAGCCTTGTGCGAGTGTGTGAGTCGAAACCCTAAGCCCAAAAACCCTAAGCCCTAAACGCAAAGTCGTAGCAGAGCAGGAGCTCCAAAACCTCAAGCAGCTCATCGAGCAGCTCAAGAAGGCCGTGGAGGAGTTGAAGTCCCAGGCCGGATGTAATGAAAGAGAACGGAATAGAACAGAAATAGAATAGGTCCAGGTAGATTATTGTAGCATAATGTAACGTAATACACTAATATAACATACTTCAAAACAGCATGATATGACACAGTATTGTATAATTTAGGGGGCTGTCCTTCTTCTTTTAGGGATGTGTTGCTCGGCTTTGGGTTTGCCATGGGACGCGACGATGATCATGATGATGATCGTGACGACGATGATGGTGGCCATGGCGGTGGTAGTGGTGGCGCTTGCTGCCGTGATGAGGGTTTTCGCACTGATACTTTCAATGGATATTGCTTCGGTCCGGCTTACAGCATGGAGAGGGCGAGGGTTGTTTGTTAGCCTCGAATTTTGGATGCTTGTGTACTTCCCGGTAATGGTTTAGAAGTGTCGAGCGCTGAATTCTGTTCGAGGCGGGGTTCAAAGAACCCGTAGATGCAGATATGGGGTGCGGCATACACCGCCTGATGCGAAAGACTAAGACTCTAGTTGATCGGCATGCTGCTTCCCGGGCTGCTTTTGCCATTTCTGCCCAAGTGCCAGATGGCTTCTTATTTTTTTGTGGTTCTCTTGGCTAGAGTCTTCAGTCGTGGGGGAGTCGTACATATAGAGTCTGAAATTGTAAGATGCTGTGTTCTCGTGTGCGGGTGGGTGGTTACGAAACCGCCCGTTTCAGTAGGTCCCAGCCTTGAGCCATGGCCAAAAAGCTTCGTGTGGACATTGTGAGCGACATTGCCTGACCCTGGTGGCATGCCGGAAAGAGCTATGGTGCACTTTATAGTATTTATAGGACACTACGACCAAGCGAACCCTGCAAGACCTGTACTGGTTTATGATTCAAAGCTACTTGTAGCAAAGGCTTTCTCCGTATGGGAACAACGACCCCATACTTTCGAGGGCAATTCGAACTCAAGAGTGTGGGCCCTGCGACACAGGCTCCAAGCACAACCGGGTTCAAACCTCGCCTTCGGCATCGATCCTTCATTCAGTAGGGTTTGGGGGATTAGGGTTAAGGGCTTTAGGGTTTTAGGGTCTAGGCCTTTAGGACAATGTTAGGGTTAAGCCGCACCATCGGTTTCGATGCGGAACAAAGCCTTCTGGCCCAATACGTTCGTCATGGTCTGAGTTTTCTGCTATGTTATCCATAGTGACCGCTTTGTGGCTGCCTGGTGATGAATGCTGCTGCCGTGCTTGATGGCTGTACGTCGACCATCGCGACATTGCTGGTCATACAAGCAGCTCATACTTTGAGATGATATGTTACAGTCTAAGTTGCGAGCTGGCCTGCACACATTTCTTGCGGAATGTCCGTCCACACAGCTGCACACATCACTGCGAATGTGTTCACACAATTTTATGCGTACGTCCGTTCAGAACGAGTTAAGCAAATAAATACTTGCAAATTTTAATGAGCATCTATGTGTATGCATACATACATACATACATACATACATACATACATGTGTTCATGAATGTAGGCGTTTTTGTTTGACTGTAGCTTTATGGTATTTACACTCCTCGTCCGGATAGGTTGGCAGCATTTCCGATGCAGCGCTTTCTTTGCCAATCAGGGCCACTAAGCCGACTCACGAAGCCTTCCGGACCCCCATATTCTAGGCATGGTTCTTTCACCGACTCTTTGCTCACATGTCGAGGTGCTACGTGGGAGACACGCGACTGGAAGCTGCAGTGCAGCAGATGCAGAAGCAGGGTGTGGATGTGGATGTGAGGCCACACTGTAGCATGCTGAGGTGATACTGGCAGTGGTGGTGTTGGTGGAGTACAGCCGTCGCCATCTCGTCATCGTTGTTGTGATGGAAGCAGGAGTAGTATATACCAGGACGAGGAGAAGTAGGACTAGGAGCAGGAGGAGTGGGAGCGGGGGTGGGGTGGAAGCGGGTGCAGGAGTACGAGTGGGGGACTGGGTCGTAGAAGGTCGCCGTGGTCGTCGCAGTCATAGCAGAAGGTAACGGAGGAGGAGCTGATGGTGCTTAGCACCCCATCTTTTCAGGTATTATCCGTTCATGATCGACCCTTCCACCAAGAATTCTGGTGAGGACAAGGCAGACTATTGCAGGCCGGCCTGCTCACAGTTCATGTGCTGGGGTTCTTCGAATGAGAGGGGGATATGGGTTTAGGGGTTCGGATATAGGGTGCTTCACTATACTATATCTATTTCACGCAATGTAGCAGAACTGAACACGTTACAACGGTGTCTGTTCTCCATTGCAGCACATGTTCGTAGCTCGAAAACCCCAGTCAGACTTTTTGGGTAATGTGCCTGTTTCCTGCCAAAGTGCTAGCCAACGTGCTTCGTCGTACCAGCCAACCTCGCCCGGCTTGTCTCAGATGTGAGTGCTGAAACCCGAAAACCCCTACCTTAAGCCCTAAACTCGACCCAAGAGACCTCGTCTGGCAGTGTCCGAGTTGCGAGAGCGTAAACCCTAAAACCTCCAGGCGTCGAGGATGGGGTGGCGGCTGGAAACCTCCAGATCTGAGGTGCATTCCTCTAAAGGGATCTATCAGGGCTTTATAAGGGTTCCTTACCTTTAAGCACTCTGTTCCCAAAACACCCCACGCAGACTTGAAAAGGTCGTGGGATGCCTGGTTTGGCCCAACTACCGCCAAACTCTCTGAACCCTGAGGGTCCATGTAGCCATATAGTATGTATGTTGGCCTTAAAGCCGTAAACGATCGAAACCCTATTTTAAGCTCTTTACGCCCAAACTCTATACTACGTATAGGTCCACAAACCCTTAAAGGAGCCCGCCTCAAACCCCCCCTTAAAGGGCTACCCTTCGTTTATCACCTTCATGCTGGGAGTTATTACTTAAGCATTTGCTGTTGCCAGTCTTCTGCGATCTGCGCACCTTCCTGAGTCATGAAAGATCGCAGATCGATGGGTTCATGGTGTGCCATGCTAAAAGTCGTCCCAAGAGTGCCTGCAGTTGTCCTTTCCGGCATTTACGCGAGCCGAAACACACCAGACACGGTTGACTTATACCCGTTCCAGGCAGTGGAAATGGTGGCCCAACACCGAGCTTCTTGGCCGGCACGAAGCCTTGGCACTAGGGGGACCCTGTTGTAGTATAGAAGCCTTTCGTCCCCTTTAAGGGGACCCTGTTATAGAAGCCATTAGATCCTAGAGTAGCTCTTAATATCAGCGAAGCTTTCAGGAACGCCCATCGCCTGTGTACGTACCTCGACGAGATCCACGCGAAGATGCCGGAACTGAGCGAAAAAGACAAGGAGTCTTGGTCAGAAAAGTCGGCCCTGCCCGGGTTCAAGACGTTGTTCACCTGAAGCTGAGGAACATAGGCTGCGGATTGCGACGGTTTGTGCTCAGGTCGAAAGAAGCCACGCTTTGATGCGCAGCTTGTCTTGGCATGGGAGCTGTTTGGGGGTGAGGAAACTGGATTGCGGGAAAGTGCGGTAGTTCTGCATGAAGTTATGCTACCATCCAGTACACGTCACGCATCCTGGTAGTCTTTGTTGTGGAAGTTCTGTTCCGTCCAGAATTAGCTTTCGCAGACGGCTCTGTGAGACATGCTTACTTTGCTGTCATTTCTGGCAAACTCGCGCACTCAGAAGTGCGTATGTGCACATGGAGTTCGAAGAAACTTCCGGCAGGCAAGAATAAATTTTGTGGCAATCCCACGATACCACAGACCGACCTACTCAGAGTTTCCAAACCCACAGCGGGCTATCATCAGATCTACCTCGTCTGAAGAAAAGATTAGTATTCATAATATAAATAAGTCTATGTGCAGTGCGATTATCACTCTTGTTTTTTTTGCGGATGCTAATTTTTATAGCATGTAGCCCTTCGATAGAGTAACCGCAATAAGAACCTTGACAGCATAACCCCGGTAGAAATGCCCGCGAACTCTCCAGCATCCAGGGAAGTTTTATGAGCTCACCTACGATCGGGACTGCAACATTTCGGTGCCCGAAGGGGCTGCCCAGGCCGGAACTGGAAACGTTTTGGGGCTCAGGGCTGGTATGAGGTGGCGGCGGCGGTGGGCGTGGTGGTGGTGGCGGCCATGGTCTACGTTGTCATAGTGGGTTGGAGTCTTGTCGTCGCGCTGGCGGTGGCAGAGGGTATACTTTATGTTGAACTGTCATGCGGTTCTTTGCAGAGACTTGTTGGATCAGTGTCTGAGCGGTGGCTGTTTGGATTTTTGGGCTCGGGGTTTGTAGGGTTGTGGAGTGTTAGGGCGATATAGGCAAAGGGGTTTAGGTTTGAGATGGTTTGAGGGCCGCCAACGGAGAAGGGCTCCGGCAAGCATGATGGTGAAACCCTGAAGGCCCAAGACCCCCAAAAGCCATCTAAAGCCCGTTTGAGCCTCCCCGTTCTGCATCGTGCTTTCTGACACTAATAAGTAAAGTGCAGGCCATTGAGGAGCTCGGATATGGCACTGCAAAGGATGCAGTGGCATGGTTGTGCCTCGGCCTTGCTGCTTAGGGCTTGACGGCTTGAGGCGGCATTCCTCATGAGCACTACAACGAAGAGCAGTCCAGGTCTTTTAAGCTCTCTCAAACACTAACCGTGTAAACCAAATGAGCCAGCAACCGAGACCAGCGCAGGAATGGTGGTGGTGGACTACCAGAACTGCGGGCGAGCCGGGTGTGTGGAGGGCGGATTTCATGTCTTTGCGCTGTTGTTAGCTCTCAGGATCACCGGTTTGGGGAGATTGTGGCACGTCGCATTCATCAGCCCTCGACCCGTAGTTTTCTTTTGTGGCAAGCTTCTGTCGCCCGGAACTGCCCGGAACTGCCATAAACGCTAAACCCCAAAAACTTAATTCCCTAAACCCAAAGTAGGCCGTCAACTCTATAATCCTATAACTCCTTAACTAGAGTCAGCATATAATCCTTAACCCTCAGCCCTAAGTTTTAAGCCTGCCTCTAAGATGCGCGTCCAGGATGCACTTCGCAAGGCGCGAGCCGAAGGTGTGTCAAGTGTACCTCAGTATTGCGCCCTGCTGGCAGCCGGAGAGTTATAGGGTTTAGGGTTTGGGATTATTGTTTTATAGGGTTTAGGGTTTTGGGATTGTTGTTTTATAGGGTTTAGGGTTTTGGGATTGTTGCTTTGTAGGGTTTAGGGTTTGGGGATTGGGATACCTGCGCATCGGGGTTTGTATGCAGAACCTCCGGAACCACAACAACACCAATAGCAGCATCCATGCTAAGTCTCATAAGTCCTCTTGAGTAGAAAACCCTATGCCCTAAACCCTAA